ATCATATGAGTGCCAGGAATAGGGTCACTTGGAACACCATGATTGATGGGTACATTAGAAATGCCATGTTTGAGGAAGCAATTGAGCTGTTCGATGAAATGCCTGAAAGGAACGTTGTTTCTTGGACTGCGATGATAGGTGGGTTTGCGAAGCACGGCCGTTTCCAAGAGGCTCTAGAGTGGTTTCAGGATATGCTATCATCTGGAGTGGAACCTGATTATGTGACCCTGATACCCGCACTTTCTGCTTGTGCTAACTTGGGGAGTCTCAGTTTAGGCCTATGGCTTCACCGCTTCAGTTTGCAGCACAAGTTGATTGATAATATCCGAGTGAACAATACATTGATAGACATGTACTGTAGGTGCGGTTGTGTTGATTTGGCACTTCAAGTTTTCGAGCGAATGCCCGAGAGAAGCTTAGTTTCATGGAACTCAATCATTGTTGGCTTGGCAGTGAATGGTAACGCAGATGAAGCACTTGAACATTTCAATATGATGCAAAAGGAAGGGTTCCAACCAGATGGAGTGAGCTATACCGGAGCTCTGACAGCCTGCAGCCATGCCGGTTTAGTGAAAGACGGACTGACATTATTCAAAACAATGAAGGAAGTGCATGGAATTCCACCAACAATTGAGCACTATGGGTGCGTTGTTGATCTTTATAGCCGTTCCGGGAGATTAGAGGATGCATTAAGCGTGGTAAAGAAAATGCCAGTGAAGGCAAACAAAGTGGTATTAGGATCCATGATGGCAGCCTGCAGGGCACATGGGGATGTCAGGTTGGCTGAAGAATTGATGAGTTACATGTATGAGTTGGATAAGGGTGGAGATTCAGACCATGTCCTGCTTTCTAACATATATGCCGCATTTGGGAGTTGGAGAGGAGCAAGCAACGTGAGGAGGAGAATGAAGGAGCTTGGAATACAAAAAAGACCAGGAACCAGCTCTATTGAGGTCAGTGGTGAAATCTACGAGTTCATGGCTGGTGATAGATCACATGAGGATGCAGAATTGATATATGCTATGCTGAATATTTTGTCTCATGAACTGCAGATATTTGGCACCTTTCCAGATTAGGTTGTTACTCGTAGGGGATCATCTTGAATTCTTGATTGCCGGAATAGTTTTTCCCTAAATATTTTTAATTTAAGACGTTTTAGTGTGTAAATTAAATGATACGGAGTAGAAAACAAGCTGTTTGTGTTTGGGGAGCTTTTGCACAATTTGTTCAGATTGTAGTTCAAATAGATAAAATGAGGTGATTAAGTTCATTGTTCGATTGCTTAACAATGTTTTTGCTAATTGTTCAGATTATAGGGGTGTTTGGTAAATGGTGTTTCAGCCGAAAAATGACGATTTGACCACTTTCAGCGTTTTCAATAAGTGAAAAAGTTGTTTGGTAAATGGCGGTTCGGCACTAGCGTTTTTGGACGAAAACGCTGAAATGAAAACGCTGCTAATAGGAGAGTTTTGGGTTGGCGTTTTTAAAAGTGACATTTTCTACTAATTTTATGACCAAACAGCTAAATTATCAAACATCTTCTAACAACCCGCCAATTTATTTCGGTAGTTAAACCCGCTGACTGAATCCGTTATAAACAACCCGCTAACATTACCCGCTATCCGCCAACTGGTAAATGCCAAACACGCTCGTAAAAAAAGATAGGGGGAGAAATGTGCCATGTATCTCTCGGTTTATTTGTTCAAAAAGGAACAATGTATTACTTTCTTGAGTTTTTTTTCGAAATAATGCTAATTAATTAATTAATTACAAAAATAATGCTGGGTTAAAAGTATTTACGATCTACTGCTGGGTTTAACCATGGTCGGGAAAAGTCGCCAAACGGTTGGGGGACTTATAAGTCGCCATCCGGTTTGGCGACTTATAAGTCGTCCAACCGTTTAGCGACTTACCCCCTGCATCTGAACGAAGGAACCAGTTACTGCCAGGCTGCCAGCCACGCACGATTGTGCATGGCAGGGGACACACAATCGTGCGTACTTTCTAAACGCGAATTTCAACCCCTTTTTAGTCCTAGCTCAACCCAAACTCATCTGTTTGCTATAAATAATGCCTCCCTTCTGAACTAAACAACCAGCTACTGGCATAGTTAGTTAAATACGGTACGGGAATTAAACGGGGTTTAATACGTACGTGTGTTATTCGGTAACAAGAATGAAAAAGACGGTCAAAAATTCGTTGAAAAATACGTTGACTTTTAAAAAACGTGTGAAAACGTATACGTGTATAATACGGTATATGTTACAAAAATTCGGGCAAAAAATACGGGGTATTATTTTGAACATTTAAAGTATATACTTCACAAGATAAGATATATAGTAAAAACAAATAAAAATATACACATATTCAAGTAGCAAATCTCATTACCACATAAAAGAATAATTTGTTATTTCATAACTCGATGAAAAAAAATAAAAATAATAATTAAGTCCAAGACATCATTTTGCAAAATAAAGTCAAAAAATGAGGAATAATAACAATAGAATGAGACTAAGTTAAAATCATTGTCTTTATATATATGATCATCAAATAACACTCAAGTCAAACTCATGATTTTCATCAAAATGATGAATGACATATGAGAAAAGTACATTGTGCGACTGCTACACTTATTATTGTTTGTGTGTAAAAGTTTATACTAAAAATACGTCAGGTAAAAATACGTCAGGTTTAGAAAAACTTGATTTTTGATATGATTGATAGGAAAAACATCATAAATCCAATAATATTTCAAGTTTTGGTCTTTTAGGAAGCTTTAGCCGCCATGCAAATAATTTTAGTGATTAATAATTGCATTGTAACAATACAAAAACAGGGGGTCACGAGGAGAGGTTTTCCTTTTTGATTTTAAGCTATTGTTGATCTCCTATGCATTTTATGCACTAATTCAATTGATCAGTTCATGTTTCTATTTTTTGCAAAATGCGGAAAAAATACGTTTTTATACGGGAAGTAGGAGTTTTTTTCCTTTTTAAACGGACCGACATTATTTTTCGTTTTAAACGCGTTTTTTTAATCAAAAAAACGGTACGTGTTTAAAACGCGTTTTAAACGGAAAAAAAGCTAACTAGGGCTACTGGAAGCCAGGCACAATTGTGTCTGGCAGTGAGGCACGCCGTGCCTGGAGCTGTGCCTGACTCTGGATTCGTAGTTTCAGTCCGATTTCACCTGTTTTCTATAAATAAGTCCCCCCTTCTCCTATTTAGGGGTTACGAACCAGATACAACACATTACAAAACATACAACACACCTGGTCACAAACACATACATAACACCCGCTCTCAACAACATACAAAACACCGCATGCATACTCTTCACAAATCAGATACAAAACAGTAGATTCATAACTGGTAAAACAAAGTACAATCATCCAATATTCATAACACAATAGTCATCTAATATTCATAACCGAACACATCAAAACATCATAAAAGAGTGTACAGGTGCAAATCCGTAAAATAAAGTCAATTGTTGCTACAACATCTAGTGTACAATAAAAACTCCAATACAAAAGACAAACTACAAGTTCTCATGGTCTTCTTGATCGTCTTGGTCATGGAGATGTTGTTGTAGCTGCCAACGCACTAGATGTCGATGGCATATCCTGAGATGGGGGCATATGTATAAGATGACCGTAGTCGACTCGCCCCAATACATCTGAACACAAGGAGGCAATGCCTGTCAGACCCTGTCCGTACATGTCCACGTCATGCGTATCACTCACTGTGGCAGTAGCCCGCTGATGTATACGCTGCAAAGCTCGTGTCTAAAATATAAAACACAATTTTAATTAGTTAGAAAAAAAAGTGTTAAACAAAGAAAATGACTTGCTTTAGTAAATAGTAATATACTCACCGTCAAATGCAAAGTCAAGGAGCTAGGCTGATAATAGTGAGTAAGGAGTCTGAACGAAGGAGACACAAACAAGCGAGTGATGCTGTAATACCATCTCATGTTGTCTCCTGAAACAGATGGGACAAATGTTGGAGTCTTAGTCACAACTAGCTCAGCTCGCCTGTCCCACATAGTGACGTATCGGACATGTCTCAGTGCCCAATCCTCCGTATGCTTCCCACGCCTATCCAGCCTATGAAGCTCTACATATGTGTCGATAGGTGCTGGAATGACCTGCTCAAACCCAAACTGTCGCAATACACGATCAAGCAAATGAAGCTCAACAATGTCAAAACATATCAACCTTACTCCTGTGTGAGGCCTACAATGTCAGGACAGAACGATCACTCGGCCCAGGATCCGCTATCACCTCCATGCCTACAAAAAGAAAAAGGATATTAGTTAATTTTTACTATTATATTAATTCTTTTTTTAATCATCCATTTTATTTATTATTATCTTTTCGTGCAACGTTAGTATCAATTGTGGATTATTATAATTAAAACCTTACCTAGTGGACCCCCCTCCATCTCTTGATGATCTCTTTGCACATGTGGCCCTATTATGGCCGGTTTGTTTACATTTTCCACATCTAACCGTTCCTCGGGGACCTTCATCCATCTCATCATTCTTAATACGTGTGGACTTTGGTCTTCCCTTAGCCCAAAGCATGGATGGATCGTGCACAATTTCAGGTCCATTGTAAGTTGGCCAATAATCACGGTCAGGAATGGGTTTGAAGACTCTTTGATATGTGGCGGCGTATTGGGCAGATGAGAAAAAAGGATCCACAAATGGATGAAAAGACAAGATATGTTGTCTGCACACGGCTAATACGTGGGGAGCATGGAAGCTTATATATTTCCATCTTCTTACAAGTGCAAGTACGCCGTTGCAGATGGACAATTTGTTTTCTCCCACCCTTTCCCAATGTTCGGCCACCACAACCTGTTTCCACTTGGTATATCCCTCGGCCTATATCAAATGGAGTGACAGTGTGATGCTTGGCCTTCCCATTTATGTTTATCGGACTCCAGCACCCGATAAAATTGGTTCCGTTTGATAGAATACAAGCTCACCATATTGATGACTTTTTCTTTGTTGTCAAACTGTTGACCAACCTCAAACTCACCCTCGAGTGTAAACCTTTTCATACCTGCTCCACTCATCCACACATCAGTAAAGCCTTCAGGGAGATCATATATTCTAGTAAAGTGGCTAGACGGGGTGGTTGCCGTGATAGTATCACCATCATCTTCATCAGATTCTATCATGTCCTCACCATTGATGTTCTCGTCAGCATCATCATCACTGCCCTGCCCATCCACAAATGATGCACCATTGTGCAAATACATACCATCTTCTTCTATAACTGATAAGTCCATTTTTGTACTTATTTTTCTTATCAAATTTAAGCGATTTTTGAATGAAAATAGAAAGAAAAGACACATTTTATATATTTTGGTTCAAGTTTCATGAAATCAGGTAAAAATCACATCCATAATATGTTTAGCGGGATTTCGGGTCAATTGAGCACAAAATGAGTCAATTTGAGTGACAAATGCATTTATACCGGAAGAAGCAAGCATTTTATCAAGGTGATTCAGAAGACAAAGTTGAAGAGCAAGAAAAGCCGCATCTGCCAGACAAAAGTGGCCGAAGGCGCCCAAATAGGCGCCCAAAATGGAGGCCTTCGCGGCCGCCTACGGGAAAATTCAGAAGTCAACCTCGCTTTGACTCGGGACCAGGAAAAGACCGAAGGCTGCCGACACTGGACAGAAGGCGGCCGCCTACGGTGGCCGCCTGCGGCACAAGGGGACGAAACCAACCACCGGTCGGCCAGACAAGACGGCAGGCGGCCAGACAGGACGGCAGGTGGCCGCCTGCTGGACCGCCTGCGGCGGCCGGGGTCCGCCGGGATCCGATCTGCCAACGAAAAGATGGCAGGCGGCCATTTTTGACAGAAGGCGGCCGCCCTCTGTGGCCGCCTACGGCTGACGGGACCGCCACCGACGGTCTGCCGGCGATAGGACGGCAGGCGGCCAGAGGCTGCCGGAAGGCGGCCGCCTGCCCGGGCGCCTACGGGAATTTTTCGGCTATAAAATCCAGGCTTTTTCCTCAACTCAAACACACCTCTTCCAACCCTAAATCAGTTCAAAACACCTTCTTTCTTCCTCCATTTTCGAGCTCCAAAGGTTTTAGAGAGAGAGAAACTTCAAATCTTCATATCTTCTTCATTTTAGCTCCAAATTGTAAGTTCTTTATATGTATTTTCATCTTCTCAACGTGTAGAATCTGAATCTGTGCTTTGTTTCTTCGATCTGTTCTTCGAAAATTTCCAGATTAT